CTTTTGATAATATGTATAAGCTGCAAATACATGTACTGAAAATTGATGTAAATGGTCCTAAAGTGCTGCTTTGTCGTTGTCCCATGTTATCTAAATTGTCAATGAAATATTTAAAATTGACATCACATTGCTAAATCGTCATTGGTGTAATTAAAAAATAAACAACACTATCAATATGTACTAGATAGGTTTTACGATAGCCAAGGTGAAAAGGTACACAACTAGAGATAAGAACGACATAGTCCCTGTGTGTTCAACAGCCCATTTTATCAATAATATTTATGTAAACCTGTCACCGGTGCTGAATCACAAATCCAATTCTTCAGATTATAACGGGGTTACATCAGGGACAAAATACTGTAACACAGTACTAGAATAATTTTAAAAGAAAGGTTATTTTTACAATTTGCAATTTGCTGAATAATTTTACAAGAGATATGGCCATTGCTTTCATATCGTTTGAACCAAACGAACCCATCGACCCCAGAAAATAATATGACCCGTGCCTCCGGTCAGAAGCGTATATGTTATATATATTAATATCTGTATCTGTACATGTATTGCAAAGTTATATACTGTGTTACACATTTAATTTTAAGCAACACTTATATGCAGTGCTAATTGTATTTATCTTGAGAGTATCATTGAATTTTGAGATTAAAAAAATACACTTTTTTCTTTATACAACATACATAAATCATCTCGGTCAACTCCCATAGCCTCCTTGATCCAGTTCAAAGATAAATTACTTACGAGACTTGAACACGCTGATTTGTCAGATGAGTGAAATGAAAGATTTATTTTCTGCAAGACATAAATCATTTCGATCAACTCCCGCTCTACTGGTCCAGCTGATGACTTGTCTTTAGTTCGGCGTCTCCACAGGTCCAGCTGTTATCTTGTCTTTTGTTCAGCGTCTCCACAGGTCCAGCTGTTGTGTTGTCTTTTGTTCGTTGTCTCCACAGGTCCAGATGTTGTGTTGTCTTTTGTTCAGCGTCTCCACATGTCCATCTGTTGTGTTGTTTTTTGTTCGGTATCCTCAAGTCCAGCTTTTGTCTTGTCTTTTGTTCGGCGTCTCCACAGGTGGAGCTGTTGTCTTGTCTTTGTTTTGCGTTTCGACAAATCGATCTGTTGTGTCGTCTTTTGTTCGGTGTGTTCACAGGTCCAGCTGTTGTGTTGTCTTTTGTTTGGTGTCTCCACAGGTCCAGCTGTTGGCTTGTCTTTTGTTCGGCGTCTCCACAGGTCCAGCTGTTGTGTTGTCTTTTGTTCAACGTTTCCACAGGTACAGCTGATGTCTTGTCTTTTGTTCGGGGTCTCCACTGGTTCAGCTGTTGCCTTGTCTTTGTTCGTCGTCTCCACAGGTCCAGCTGTCGTCTTGCCTTTTGTTTTGTGTCTCCACAGTTCCTGCTGTTGTGTTGTCTTTTGTTTGGTGTCTCCACAGGTCCAGCTGTTGCCTTGTCTTTGTTCGTCGTCTCCACAGGTCCAGCTGTCGTCTTGCCTTTTGTTTTGTGTCTCCACAGTTCCTGCTGTTGTGTTGTCTTTTGTTTGGTGTCTCCACAGGTCCAGCTGTTGTCTTGTCTTTTGTTCGGCATCTCCACAGGTGCAGCTGTTGTCTTGTCTTTGGTTTGCGTTTCGACAAATCGAGCTGTTGTGTCGTCTTTTGTTCGGTGTCTTCACAGGTCCAGCTGTTGTGTTGTCTTTTGTTCGGTGTCTCCACAGGTCCAGATGTTGTGTTGTCTTTTGTTCAGCGTCTCCACATGTCCATCTGTTGTGTTGTTTTTTGTTCGGTATCCTCAAGTCCAGCTGTTGTCTTGTCTTTTGTTTGGTGTCTCCACAGGTCCAGCTGTTGCCTTGTCTTTGTTCGTCGTCTCCACAGGTCCAGCTGTCGTCTTGCCTTTTGTTTTGTGTCTACACAGTTCCTGCTGTTGTGTTGTCTTTTGTTTGGTGTCTCCACAGGTCCAGCTGTTGCCTTGTCTTTGTTCGTCGTCTCCACAGGTCCAGCTGTCGTCTTGCCTTTTGTTTTGTGTCTCCACAGTTCCTGCTGTTGTGTTGTCTTTTGTTTGGTGTCTCCACAGGTCCAGCTGTTGGCTTGTCTTTTGTTCGGGGTCTCCACTGGTTCAGCTGTTGCCTTGTCTTTGTTCGTCGTCTCCACAGGTCCAGCTGTCGTCTTGCCTTTTGTTTTGTGTCTACACAGTTCCTGCTGTTGTGTTGTCTTTTGTTTGGTGTCTCCACAGGTCCAGCTGTTGTCTTGTCTTTTGTTCGGTGTCTCCACAGGTCCAGCTGTTGTCTTGTCTTTTGTTCGGTGTCTCCACAGGTCCAGCTGTTGCCTTGTCTTTGTTCGTCGTCTCCACAGGTCCAGCTGTCGTCTTGCCTTTTGTTTTGTGTCTCCACAGTTCCTGCTGTTGTGTTGTCTTTTGTTTGGTGTCTCCACAGTTGTAGCTGTTGTGTTTAATTTTGTTTAGGTGTCTCCACTGGTCCAGCTGTTTTGTTGTAGTTTGTTCGGTTTCTCCACAGGTCCAGCTGTTGTGTTGTGTTTTGTTCGGAGTCTCCACAGGTCCAGCTGTTGTGTTGTCTTTTGTTTGGCATCTCCACAGGTCCAGCTGTTGTGTTGTCTTTTGTTCAGCATCTCCACAGGTCCAGCTATTGTCTTGTATTTTGTTCGGCGTCTCCACAGGTCCAGCTGTTTTGTTGTCTTTTGTTTGGTGTCTCCACAGGTCCAGCAGTTGCCTTTTTTCACACACAATCCAAAACCAAAAACTACTAAAATCTTGTTATTGAATTGCAGATAACGAACTACACATTTAATAGGAATTTCATGCGGATAGGTTTCTTCAGTTCTTCATGCGTTTTTATTGTCGCAGTTATTCACATCTTTAAAACAAGAACCTACTCGGAATATTTAACATCATTACCTCTTCTGTTAGACAATATCAAAACAAATCAAATCATTTTGCATTCAGTTTGACTATAATATGCTGTTTATCGTAACTTCAAATTTATAACCCAATAATTTAGTTACCCACCAATTGGCATTGGTGGGTAATTTTAGTTTGATAAATATAGAACATACGTGGGGCAAATAAAAAAAACGTTAACAATCTCTTATTTAGTTTTATGGCTGAAGAATAATGAAAATATGAATTTGAATATTGAAATGTATGTAATCGGTGAGATATTTCGTAAACATATTTGTTTCTCAAAACACTCACTGGAGAGTGGGACAACTAGGATAATGGTTACTATATGCACGAGGCTTGATCGTTATATTTACAGATTATCACACTTCGTTTTAAGTTTTTTTTAGTTAGAACAATTTTTAAGCAAGCACGCGGAGGCCACCACAGGTGAACCTTAAAACTATATAATCGTCAATGGCTTCTCATATGTACATTTACGCTGGAAATGATGTTGTTACTTTCACAAACAATTTTCATTACTTTATGATGATCACTTTATGACTGACTATTTTCTTACGCGGGTCACTTTTTTGTGGATACTATTTGCGGTTCAGGACGTCACCTGGCGCGAGCATACCGGTTTTTTCTATCGAAAAAAATACATTCCCAATTGGAAAAATACATTCTCAAGTTGTTCTCAAATTGTTTGCTACATCCTCTTGAGCATTCCCATGCTTTAAACGGACGATAATGAATTTATCATGCTACCGGTTGGTGATATTAAGTAGTGTATAGACGATTTCCTATATTCTGTATAAGAATGTTGGTGTCCCCTTACAACTCTCTACGAGTAACTGCTCTAAGGATGACCAGAAATCAATATGAATTAATTGACCGTTTTGATAATTCGTATAGTATACGTGACCAATTTCTATATGTAGCTTTTTTTCTGTTGCTGCACAACACAACTTATATTAACAAATTCAATGGATATGAATGTTGAATTGTGATATTACATGTGGAATTAGAGAAGTCGAGGATGGGATGTACAAGTTCTATGGCAGTAGCGAACCGATCATTTGTTTCAACGACAGGGTCGAAACTTTTGACAAATAAACAGCGAGATATCATCAAGAAAACATGGAAAGTGATGTGTTCCAATATTAAATGGACACGGCATAAAGGTTTTTCTCCGCATATTTCAACTCCATCCGCATGTCAAACAATTGTTTCCTTGTAGAGACGTTGAAGGGGAAGACCTCTTACGTGATTCCAACTTCAAGGGACATGCCTCAAGATTTATGCAAGCTGTCGGAGCGGCAGTCGAAAACATTGATGACATAGAAGCAGCACTCACGCCATTACTAACTGGCCTTGGAAAGCGGCATATACAGTTTATAGGTTTTAATAACGAATATTTCGACGCATTTACAGAGGCCATGATGTATACATGGCATGAGGAATTGAAAGGACAGTTTTCCGGTGAATCAAGCCTGGCATGGGCGACAGTATTTGAATTCATAATGCACAAACTGAAGGAAGGACACGCGGCGGCATTAGCTAACAGCGATAAGGTTCAACAGAATTTAGTATCCAATGATCAGATTGCATCGAAGTGAAAAGTTATTATCACCGTATTATTTCCAGCATGTTTGAAGAACATTTGATGGTGAAAGCAACACATGTTGTTTTTGCAACATTCTGTCGGTACGTTTTTTGACAGTTTGAAGTTTAAGTTGTCAAATCAGGACAACCTGTTTTTGTGTGACAATTTACAATTTTAACTCATAAAATCTTCCAAACTTCCCGTGTTGGACTTTTAGAAATCGTTATGTATACACCAGTCTAGCTGGACACGTTTTACAAATTACGACGACTTAAACATGTCGTCAATTCATGTCAAATGATAAATGAAACATATTCTTTGTTGTTTTATTTTAGTTGTAGGTACGAGTTTAATCCGTAGATTGTTGTTAACCTCCTAGTTTTGATGGGTGCCATATGTGGCAAGGAAACGCTTAACATTTTGAGGCACTTCATTTTAAGCTAGTATTTTGCAGGTAATGTCTTTGTTTTTGTTTTTTGTAAAACAAGGAATCTTCGTCAAAAATCATTTCTTTTATTTACAGAGAGAACAATACAAAAAGTAATGTATACATAAGATATAAAACATTCGTGCAGAACTAACTTTGGCCGTTTTCCATTATTTCACTCTAATGTTGTCCCTGGAAAGAAAACAATAATACCATTATGTATTTCATATCAAATTTAAGATCTTACAATGCATGCTTTTATTAGAATAAAGAATCACACGTGTCCTGAAATAAAAATGAAGTGTGTAAGAAAGTATACCGGAGCAAAGCAATATAAATTAGTAACGCTATTTTACGACAACAGTAATTATAAAGTAATTACTTTTTCACCTGGAATGCTTTTTGTTTCGTTCCCTCAGCATTTTTATAGAAAGCGTTACAGAGTAGTGTCAGAATTCAAGTATACACTGGGATATATACAGTACTGTAAATATCGACATTTTCGCGGATCGGAATGTTACCTATGTAAAACAATTTTTATCGACAATGCTTCTGAAATTTTCCTTTCATCACATATAAAAGTTGAAATAGGCCAAAATATTGATACTGTGATTAATTCAGCTTTTCCTGAATTATATCGTGTACTTACATGACAACCACATTCATTACAGACATCACAGACACCAGAGTTCTTCAGCACTGTGGATTGGTAGAACTTCGTCACTTGGTTACCTGTTTTGTAAAAGAAATAAAGCATTTGAATACGTTAAATACTATCTAGCGGGAAGTATGTTTAGATGAGATGTCGACTTGGCAGTTCCTACTAGTATATTCTTGACCCTTTATGGTAGAATCATTGTAGGACAAGTTTCAGACTAAATCCTCGCAAAATATGAATACCTATTCATCCCATGTAAATCGCACGTAATTTGATGATGCCAAATGCTATGCTGTATACATGTTTGCTTTATTTTTTTGATGAATATATATATAAAAAAAACAGTAAAGTGAATATCTAATGACATAGTACTTTGCGACAGTCGGTCTTGTAGGTTTTTACATAATACTAATATTGTTCAGATATAGTTTAACAACTAATAAATGAACAGTATTAATTATCTTTTCCTGTGGATAACTTACTCCGAAATACGTACTCGCGAAAATAAAATAATTGAAATATTTCTGCAGAATTGTTTACTGTATATTGAGAGTATGTAAATATATTCAACAAGATTTATCTTACTTGGCTCATAGTAGTCATAGACTCTGATAGGAGCCGGCTGCGACTTGGCAACTTTGTCTGTCCTGAAGGCGTCCATAGTTACACACAGGGGAGTCGTGGTAATCTACATAAAGTGAATTTTGATTACAGATTAGACATTAATGACTGTATATATATGTAATATAAAAATATAATAAAGCTCTGAC